AGATTCCACACCCAGCATGGAGCCCGATGTGAGGCTCAATATCATAACCCTGAGATCATGACCTGAGCCAAAACCAAGAGTCGGATGCTTAACCGACTGAGCCACCTGGGCGCCCCAGGATGCCTTTCATTTCTTTTTGTTGTATGGTTGCTGAGGCTAGGACTTCCAGTACGATGTTTAACAATGGTGAGAGTGGACATTCCTGTCTTGTTCCTGACTTAGAGGAAAAGCTCTCAGTTTTTCCCCATTGAGGATGATATTAGCTGTGGGTCTTTCATACATGACCTTTATGATGTTGAGATATGTTCCCTCTGTCCCTACTTTGTTGCGGGTTTTTGTTCTGAATATTTTCTAATGTTCTTTCTTCACATTTTGTTTCATTCCCCCCCCATCAGTGGGGATATTTCAAACTTAGAAGTACAGAGGAAAGTATAACAACCCCTCAAGAATCCAATTATCAACACATGGCCAATCTTGTTTTATCTATAGCTCCCTTACCCCCACTCTACTAAATTACTTTGAAACCAGTCCATTTCATCTTTAAATATTTCAGTCTATATCTCTAAAAAACAGGTATTTGTTTTAGTTTATATGATAGTGGTAGTTGAACTGTTTTAGAAAGTTCACTAAGCACTGCCTATAGTAATCTGTCGTCGGTCCTAATATCCTCTCAGTTGCACCTTGGTTGAAAATCTAGGATGATTTTGGATAGTTTGAATTCAGGCAAAGAAAATGAGTGACCTTCTGCTGATTATTCCTTTTCTTGACAAAATTGAAAACATTTTGTCTCTTTCCAACTAATCCAGTCAGGAGGAGTAAGGAATATATTTGAGGTTCTAGTAGGCCTGCAATATAATATTAAGTCATCTGCATGTTGAGCAAGTGTAGATTTTTTTGCAGAATCCACGTCCTTTAAATCATTAGTTTAGCATTTTGAAAGTAATAAAGAGAATCAGTGAATCCTAGTATCTGTGGGGTTTTGGCCTCTCAGGAGAAGCAAACAGTTGTTGATTGATTATCTTTATTTTCACAGATATGCTAAAGAGAGCTGCAGTTAAATCCACAGGGGTGAAATATTTTAGTAAAAGAAATATATATTAGGGTCAGGTAGCTTCAGAATTTTGTTATCACTATTCAGTTAAAGGCTTCCATTGGGTTCTTTTAGGTAATAGAGATGCTAATACAGGATATGACCAAATGTTCCAATAGGGCAGATTGCATTGGGGAATTTAGATGCTTGCACTGCAGTTATAGTTCTGGTTACTTTGGGGAACAGATATAACGTGGCAGGATTAAAATAGAGATAGAGGTGCCAGTATCTGAGAAAAATGTACACATATTTTTGTTTGACGGTCAGGCTTTATTTAGGAGACTCTGAATTTTTTAACTGTATTTCTAAATGCTGTATATTTCTAAAGCTTAAAGGTGACAGTATTACCTTCCCTTGATGAGTTGGTTAAATTTCTAAGTGGAAATTGAGAGACAATTATGGTCAGTAATATAGGAAGAAAAGGGGCAGAGAGAGTTTCTTGAGAGCATGGGAGTTCAGTATAAAGAGGGGGAGCAGTGAGATAGGAAGATGATCAAGGAGAAGGGAAAGGATGGAGGAGACATGCTAGGAAGGAAGGAACAAAATAGGCAAAGTAGTGGGGCTCAAATTGTCCCATTTTTGGCCAATGGAAGCACTTCAAGTTGGTTCTGAAGTCCCTTTGTCATAACCCTAGTATTGTAGCATCCTTGCTTTTAGGTACAATAAGACGTTTCAGGTTTATCTTGTATCTGTCCTGCCCCAGACTGGGCATTACCCATTTCTGAAAGGAACCCCATTTCTTTTTAGTGCTAAATAAAATTGAGAGATTGTACTCGGGGTATTAGCATTAGGGGTACTTTTTTTTTTTTTTTGAGAGAGAGAGAGAGGTGTGGAGGGGCAAAGGGAGAGGGAGAAAGAGAATCCCAAGCAGGCTCTATGCCCACCATGGAGCCTGATGCAGGGCTCAGTCTCATCACCCCAAGATCATGACCTGAGCAGAAATCAAGAGTTGGATGCTTAACTGACTGAGCCATCCAGGTGCCCCAGGGGTACTCATTTTTAATAGGTTGGCATATTTTTAAGGTCTTTCCAGTGGACAGTAATAGGAAATACTTCATTTTTCTTAAGAGAGAAGATATACAGGTTATTCTGAAAAACTTAATTTTTTTTTCTTTGTTGTGTTTTGTAACTCTTTTCTTACACTGAAAATCTTATTTCTTTCTTTCTTTTTTTTTTTTTATTTGAGAGGCAGCAAGAGAGGGAACACAAGCAGGGGGAGTGGGAGAGGGAGAAGCAGGCTTCCCGCAGAGCAGGGAGCCCGATGCGGGGCTCAGTCCCAGGACCCTGGGATCATGACCTGAGCCGAAGGCAGCCGTTTAACGACTGAGCCACCCAGGCACCCCTGAAAATCTTATTTCTTAATCCATTATTATAATTAATTACAATTTTGGTTTATTCTTACAGTGTAGTTTCAAAATAGTAATACCAATGTTATTGCCATCAGGATGATTTAAGTTTTCTTGACTTTTCTTTTTGTCTTTAGTATATATTCCACTAGGGATGTATAGTTATATTTCTTTGTTTTAAATTCACTTGAAATTTCTGTCTGCATGGATAAACCATAAAATAGATGTAAAATTAAGTTCATTTGTTTATTTTGCTTTAGATTTTTAGAAATAATTTTGGATTTTTATTTTATAATTTTGTAAAATATTTACATGATTCCAAAGTCACATCTACCACACAAAACCTTCAGAGAAATTTAGTTTCCATCCTTATCTTTTCTACCTTATTCCTCCTTTTCGCATCAGTAACCATTTAAAAAATTAGTTTTGGAGCTATTTTTTCCATTAAAAAATATATTATGAAATGCATATATACTGGTATTAACCCTCCCCCCCAGTCCCCTTTCATAAATAAGGTATACTTTCTGTCTTTTCTTTTTTTATTGACATTATGTCCTGAGGACCATTCTATAGCAGTAAATAGAGACATTTCTTCATTCCTTTTATAATACTCCATTTTTGGGGGTACACCATAGTTTACTCAATCATTCCCCCCACAGGTTGTTTCCAGTCTTATGCTATTAAAATAATGATACCATGAATAGGCTGTACATACTTTAAAGGAAATATTTAAACACAATTTGAGAAAATAATAGAAATTTGTTTTTCTTGTATTTTTAAACCTTGAGCTAAAAAATGAAGACTTGGTTCTTTTATTAAGATTAAGTAACTCATATTTTTAGATAGTATTGAGACGAGACCTTATATCAAAGTACCTTTCTCGTGGCTGGGTGGCTCAGGTGGTTAAGTGTCCAACTCTAGATTTCAGCTCAGGTCATGATCTCTGGGTTGTGAGATCAAGCCCCGCCTCAGGCTCTGCACTAGGCCTGGAGCCTGCTTAAGATTCTTTCTCTCCTTCTTCCCCTGCCTACCCCCACACTCTAAAATAAATAAACAAATAAATATTTTATTTTTTTAAAGATTTATTTATTTGTTTTTTTGAGAGAGAGAGAGACAGCAAGAGAGGGAACACAAGCAGGGGGAGTGGGAGAGGGAGAAGCAGGCCTCCCGCAGAGCAGGGAGCCCGATGTGGGGCTGGATCCCAGGACCCTGGGATCATGACCTGAGGCGAAGGCAGACGCTTAAAAACTGAGGCAGACGCTTAAAGACTGAGCCACCCAGGCGCCCCAACAAATAAATATTTTAAAAAGTGCCTTTCTCTCATTGCAAATCTAGATTTCTCCCTGCCTTTTTTTTATTGTGTTAAAAAAACACAACAGAATTTATCATTTTAATAGAATTGTTAAGTATATTCACATTGTTATGAAACAGATATTCAGAAAATTTTTTCCCAGAACTTTTTCATCATGTAAAACTAAAACTCTGTTACCCAGTGGTTCCCCTTTTCCCCTACCTATAGCCCTTGGTAACCAGTCTCTTACTTTCTGTTTCTATGAATTTGACTGCTATAGATATCTCATATAAATAGAATCATACAAAATTTGTCTTTTTAACTGCGTTATCTCACATAGCTTAATGTCCTCAAGGTTCATCTGTGTGCCAGAATTTCCTTTTTAAGTTTGAATAATATTTCATTGTATGCATATACTGCATTTTGTTTATCCATGGACATTTTGGATGCTTTCACTGCTTGACTATTCTGAATAGTGGTGCTCTGAATATGGGTATGTAAATATTTCTTTGAGACCCTGCTTGCTTGCTTGCTTTTCTTTTTCTTTTTCTTTTTTTTTTTTTTGATGTATACCTGCAAGTGGGATTACTAGATCATATGGTAGTGTTTAATTTTTTGAGGAACCCTCCATGTTGCTTTCCATGGCGGTTGCACCATTTTACAGTCCCACCAGTATACAGAAGGTTTTCAGTTTCTCCACATCCTCACCAACGCTTATTATTTTCTGGGTTTGGTTTGGTTTGGTTTTTGGATAATGGCCATTCTGATGGGTGTGAGGTGATACCTCGTTGTAGTTTTAATCTGCGTTTTTCCGATAATAAGTTTGATATGAGCATCCTTTAATGTGCTTGTTGGCCATTTGTATATCATCTTTGGAGAAAGGTCTGTTCTAGTCTTTTGCCCATTTTTTATTTGAGTTGCAGATCCAGATTTTTTATAATAATCTGATATTTTTGCTGATAGCCAGTAGAACATATTTAACATACTCTCAAAGAGAATAATTGTGTTACCCTAAAATGTGACTAACAGAATATGTATGAGCTAAATGTATTTTGTAATTCTTTTCTTATAAAGGGCTATTTAGAAACCAAAAAAAATTAAGAGAATATAGAGACTTCCTGGGAAACACCAAGGTAAGATTATCTTTCTGATAATGTTATGTGTGTGTATTTTGCACAGTGAAATTTTAGTATCAGTCCATTGTGAAATTTTAGCATGTCTGATCATAATTCAAGATTTTCTTGAGCACATTGTAACTTAACAAATTATATAGTCTGTTTGTCTCTATTGGTTTTCTTGAAATTAAAAAAAACTGGGACAACTTCTCTTTAAATTCATAACAGTGTTGTGGGGGTGGGAGGGATGGGGTGGCTGGGTGATAGACATTGGGGAGGGTATGTGCTATGGTGAGTGCTGTGAATTGTGCAAGACTGTTGAATCACAGATCTGTACCTCTGAAACAAATAATGCAATATATGTTAAGAAAAGAAAAAGATAGCAGGAGGGGAAGAATGAAGGGGGGGGAATCGGAGGGGGAGACTAACCATGAGAGATGATGGACTCTGAAAAACAAACTGAGGGTTCTAGAGGGGAGGGGGGGAGGATGGGTTAGCCTGGTGATGGGTATTAAAGAGGGCACATTCTGCATGGAGCACTGGGTGTTATATGCAAATAATGAATCATGGAACACTACATCAAAAACTAATGATGTAATGTACGGTGATTAACATAACAATAACAAATTTAAAAAAATTCATAACAGTGTTATAAACCATAGGTGTATAGATAGAGGTAAGGGAGAAGACTTATTTTCTTAGGTTTTTAGCAAAATTCAGCTCTCATAAACACCTTTAATTTCCTTTGTCCTCTCTCCTACTTCTAACCCTGATTAAATATTCAAACTGCCACTTCTCTGCTTGTACTCAAAAAGTTTAGCCCTTGGAGGAGAAAATTACACAGCCATTCTGATTCTTTTTTTCGTATTATATGAGTATATATAAAACCAGCAGACATGATGCTATTTGAGAGTCTTACTGAACTTCCATAGTGCATTCAGTCTCTCTCTGAGATAGCTGTTGCATACTTTTCCTCTCTTCCCAAACTTCCTACAGCCTTACTCTTCAGCTGATGACCTTGCTTCATCTTTCACTGAAAAAAATAGATGTAATTGATAAAAGTAAAGAACTTAATATTTAATTTAAAAATATTTAATATTTAACAGGATCCATCTTTCCATCACCAGATTTAATAACTTATCTACTTCCTATTAGAAGGAAATTAATATTGGGACTAGTATAGAAAGTTTACTTCTATTATCCTACCTCTTATTCTCTTCTGAATCCTCTTCATTTGGGCTTTCATCCCCACCACTCCACTGAATGGCTCTTATCAAAGTCACCATTACCTCCAACATACCAAGTAGTCATGTCCAGAGTCACCATTGCATTTAAACCTAATTGGGAAGTATCTCCTGTCAAGAAGTGAATGTCCTATCTGGAGAAAAGGCTAGCTGTACAAATTGTCTCCTTTCTTCTGAGTTACATTTGAGACCTTGCTCCCTTTTGGCAAAATTTAGGTTGGCAATGATGACAACTGTAGTCATATTTTATTTGATGTTCTTTTCTTTTCCATTCATTATATTCAAAACTCCGTAATTTCCATTTCCCATTTGAATTTTGTTTTTTTCTGGCATTCCATTGGTGGAGTCCTTGTCTGCCTCATGAGCCAACCTTTTCACTTCAGTGCCCTGGCAGCTGTGGAATAACTTAGGCTGGTGAGACCAGCCTCCTGGGAAGATCTGTTCCTAGGTGTTAGATCTGTTTCACATGGAGGATCATTGTCACCGGATGTTTGAGAGTAGCTGCTGACTTCTGAAATCAGTGTCACTAGAAGCCTTTTGAGGATTCATACTTGTCAACCTTGAAACATTCCAGGGTTTGAATGGAATTTCTTTTTTTTTTTTAAGATTTTATTTATTTATTTATTTGAGTGAGCAAGAAAGAGAGAGCATGATTAGGGGCAGAGGGAGAGGGAGAAGCAGACCTCCCTTCTGAGCAGGAGCTGGACGTGGGGCTCGATCCCAGGACCCTGAGATCATGACCTGAGCCGAAGGCAGACGCTTTTCACCGACGGAGCCACCCAGGCACCCCTAGAATTTGTTTCTATTACACTCTTTTTTTTGTAGTAATAGGATAACACTTTAATTTCCCTCTACTGTTCCCATATTTCTGTAAGGAACATTTACTCTTCTACTGAAGATGGCTGCTTTCCTTCTTTAAAATATATGGGGCTAGTCCTGTTAAATATTAAATATTTTTAAATTAAATATTAAGTTCTTTACTTTTTTTTTTTCTGATCCAGACACTTGTTTTTCTTTGGTATTTTTCTATGTATTAGGGGAGCTCTAGTAGTGATATATATGAACTCACTATGTTCTGGGTCTGCCAAAAGCATTCTCTCGTCAGAACAATATCTAACTGTCTGATATCTAATTTCTCAATGTCCTTTTAATACATTTCTCCTTTAATACATTTCTACTTTCTTGTGCCTTTCCTTAGAATTCTAATTCTGTGAATTTATTTGTGATAGTCCTTTAGAGCATCAGAAGTACCTTTATCTCTACTTGCCGTTATAACCTTGAAGTACAAGTAGTGCTTTGAGTATTTTACACTGATTTTGCTGGTAGTCCTTTTTGAAATATTGCCAAATTTTCTAATTTTGTTCCAATATTTTATTTTTATTTTTTTTAAGTTTGCAGACCCCTGAAGTATGATGTTCATGAAGCAGTGTTTTTTTTTTTTTAAGATTTTATTTATTTATTTGACAGAGAGAGACACAGCAAGAGAGGGAACACAAACATGGGGAGTGGGAGAGGGAGCAGCAGGCCTTCCGCTGAGGAGGGAGCACAATGCAGAGCTCGATCCCAGGACCCTGGAATCATGACCTGAGCCGAAGGCAGACACTTAACGACTGAGCCACCCAGGCACCCTGTTCCAATATTTAAAAACAATTGTTTATTATGAAAAATTTCAAATATATACAAAAGTAGAAAAAATAAATATTTGATATACCCATCTTCCAGTTTCAGTAATTCCCAGCATATTGGCCATTCTGATTTCTAAGGGGTAGTTCTCCAATTGCTTTTATTAATGGAATTTAGGGGTGACTTTAACAGGATGCTTCCCAAGGGGGTTGTGAATCCTGGCTCCTTGTAGATCTCTTGCTTTTCCTTGGACTTTGTCACTATTTCTGATCTCATGAATACCAACATGTTTTCACCTTTTCTGTAATCATTTTTTATCAGCAATCTGTGCTCCATGAATCTCTTTTTCCCTATAATATTCTATTCTAATTTTAAAGATCTCATTTTCCTTCCTTATCTGTCTTACTTATCCCAAAAGTTCTCATACCTTTCTTCTAAAGAAAGATTTCTCATCTTCCACTTTAAACAACATCTTTTCATTTATCTCTGCTTTTTTTTTTACTGTTCCTAAAATAATTTTTTGGAGTTTTGTTTTTCTCTATTCAGCCAAAGGATACAGCACATTCTCATTATAATAAAACAGACATACTCTGGTTTTTATTAATCAATAAACAATAGAACTCAGAAATCTAGAGCCATGGTCAGAATTTGTAGTTTGCAAATCTAAGTTCAAGTAAAATCATGGATAAGGTTTCTTCCTGCCTAATTCCTTGTCTTAGCTCTGGGGGCAGTTCAAAACAGAATTTGGGGACATCTAATTGCACATTGTTTGTCAAGAGCTGGCCTTAACACTTAAAATCTAGAAGCTCCCTCTTGTGTTCTCTTGTCCACAGGGAATGTAGGAGGTGCTATTTAAAATCTTGGTCTGCAGACCTGACTGCAAAACACTATAATAGTGAGAAAAAATTTAAATAGGCACTTTTCTCCCCTAATTCCTGATATGGAATCTCACCTCAGCTTTCTTGGCAATACCCAGCCAGGGTGCATCTATGGAATTCAAGTGTAAGCTGCAGCAAGCAGCCTGTCTTACAGCTCTCAGTGAGGGCTGTTTCTACTTCCTCAAGGGTATTGTCGTCTGTATGCAAGGGGACAAAACCGCCATAAGCTGTGGTGACTTACCAAGAAGTAACTCTTACATGTCATGACCCCAGTAACAACCTAAAATTTTACTCCTTATTTGTTTTCCTCATCTATTTCTCAGAGTTCAAGCCAGTATGTGAGATCTTAAAGACTCTTTTGATTTAGACTTACCCAGTAAATTGTAGACAGCTCTACCTGATTTGCCCAAATATGGAGCCATGAAAGAACAGAAAAGAATGTGTACCAATTCCCAAAATAAAGGAGGGAGCTAATAAGCATGCCCAGCATTCTCTCGTAAATTTACCTCACTAAACTTAGTCAACCTCCAGAGGGCCACTGGGGAGGAGGGGAGGCCACCATTACCGCGGGGCGGGGTGGGGGGCAGGAATCTCTTCTCATGGAAATCTGAGAAGGAAGAAGTATTCAAGTGTCTACCACCAGTAGCAAGTATTCCTTTTCCTTGGAACACCTTGTTCTCTAGGAGCCCAAGACAGTCTTTCTCCTCGTTTTCCTTGTACTTCATTAATACCTCCACTTCCTTCATCTCTTCTGCAAAAAATCTCTGCTTATTTACTCAATCGCCAAATATTGGAGATTCATTATAGACCCTTTTATATTTAAAGCCCATTAGCAGGTCCAACTGGCATTTTCTCCAAGATAGATACCTAGTGTACTTGCTTCTCACCATGCCTCTTACTGAAACCTTAGTCTAAATCATCACCATCCTTTACCTGGAGTACCCTCCTAATTGTTCTCTCCACCTCTGCTTTTGTCCCCATAATTTATTCTCTACATTTTATTGAAAGATTTTATTTATTTTTATTTATTTGTCAGAGACAGAGAACACACAAGCAGGGGGAGCACCAGGCAGAGGGAGAAGCAGGCTCCCCGCCGAGCAGGGAGCCCGATACGGGACTCGATCCCAGGACCCTGGGATCACGACCTGAGCCGAAGGCACACGCTTACCTGACTGAGCCACCCAGGCACCCCTATTCTCTACATTTTAAGCTATATCTTTGTAAAACCTAAATTTGACTATACCAAATACCTGCTTAAAATCATATGGTGACTTTTTGCCAGTAGAATAAGAGTTATACTCCTTACCATAGTTTCCAAAATCCTGTGGAATGTAGTCCCTGCCTCCTTCTCTGTCCTCAACCCCTACCATTTTCCTTGCTTTCTATGCTCTTAGCCACACCAACCCAACCTTATTTTGTCCTTTCCATATACCAAACTTATTTCTTTCCACAGTCTTTAAATGTGCTGTATGTATACTTTGCCTGAAACCATTCTTCCATATTTTTTCATGGTTGCTGCCTTCTCATCTTTGAACCTCTTTCCTACTCTAGCTAAAATAACCCTTTCCACATACACCCTCCCCCCCATACATGATCCTCTCCGTTCTGTTTTATTTTGTTATGTTCATTATTATCTGATGTTATATTTTTGTTTATGGATTTATTTTCTATCTTCCTGGACTAGATTGTGAGATCAGTGAAGGCAGGACTCTTGTCTTGTTTACTGTCAGGTCCCAGCATCTAGAATTATGCCAAGCATGTAGTAGTTGCACAATAAATATTTCTTGAATAAATTACATAAGGCAGAATTATATGAAGTACTTTAATAGAAATGTAAAGTTCAATAATAAATGTGCAGCAGAGTGAGTATTTATTCTCTGTGACCGACCAAGGAAGGCTTTACATAGAAAAATGCCAGTTGGCCTAACATGGAACAGGATAAGTAAAAGCTGGATAAATTGTGGTAGAAGATGATGATAGCATTCCAGGGAGAGGAAAGAGCAGGAGAAAAAACATAGAAAATATACATTGAAGGAACAGCAAAACTACATTTAACTCAAGAAAAATAGTTTTCTTTACTTGATTTCTTTCTTTTGGTCTGTTTTGGAATTAAACATATTATCACTTGAGGTCTTTGGTATTTAGAGAGCAGTCAGGAGTTAAATTAGAGAAGCAAACTTGGCTTTGGCCATTCCTTGTTTAAAAGTTAAGTTGCTCAGGAAATGGAAAAATTTTAGAATATATCGATTTTAGTTCAGTACATTTTTATCACTTTATCCCTGGTTTCTATGTAACCAACTCAGATCTTTTCTGGCAATAGGCAGGAGATTACTTACAAGGAAACAAACAATTAAGGTTTTGGAAAAGGACTCATATGTACTCTCAGTTTCTATCTTCTCACTTTTTAAAGTGGAGATTCTGGAGAAAAAAGCAAATAACTAAATCTAGTTATTCAGAGGGTTTAATAGAGGACATATTTTCTCGTGTGTCAGATCACTTATAAGCATTAAACTGTTTCTCTGGGAAATTTTAAAGATTTTTTCTGTGTGTTTTTTTGTTTGTTTTTTTATAGCCACGGTCCAGAACAACATCAGTTTTTTTTAAAGGGCCAGGAAAAGTGGTGATGGTTGCCATTTGCATGTAAGTACCATTTAAAATAGAAATATATTATTTTTGGGACGCCTGGGTGACTCAGACGATTAAGCGTCTGCCTTCGGCTCAGGTCATGATCCCAGGGTCCTGGGATCGAGCCCCATGTCGGGCTCCCTGCTGAGCAGGGAGTCTGCTTCTTCCTCTGCCTGCTTCTTCCCCTGTTTGTACGCTTGCTCTCTCTGTCAAAAAAAAAATATATATATTATTTTTAATGTGTATATCTATGAATGTAAAAATTTATTACTTGGTATTTAGGTAAAGGGTTATAAGTTCATGTTATTAGAAGGAAGTTGAATGAGCCTTTGTTAATATTGTCAGTAAAATGATGAGGGAAGAGTCCACATAGATATCCATGCTTGTGCTGGGTCTATTTTTGGAGTGGTTAGGATGTAAGAATAGTTGCTCTCTGAAAATTCTTTTATTTTCACTGGAGTTGAAAAAAGTCTTTTTTAAAAAGGTGAATTGGCTGAGATCATTTTTTGAATAACTAAATCAACCTGGGTCATAACTACTGAAGAATATTTATATTTCTTATTTTTCCCCATTTAACTTGGAAGAACATAATTGATATTTGTGCCTCTTCTTTTTCCTTCTGTCTTCTTGATTCGTATTGTTTTGTTATCTTTTTTCTCTTTTGTTGATTAATCTATTTTAGGATATTTAAAAGTATTAATTCCATAATTCATTAGTTTGTTTATTTCTAAAATATATACATATGACATGTCAGGAATTGTGGTAGGGTCTTGAAATACAAAGATACAATTCATAATTCTCATCTTTAAGGATTGGAGGGGCACTAGACTGGAGAATGTCATGTACGGTAATGTAGAGAAGAGATGATGATGCACTAAACTGAGATAATGAAGGTAGGGATGGAAAGACATGTTTAGGTCCAAGAAGTTTTAGGAGGTATGGTCAAGGATGGGTCCAGGTTTCTGGTTTGGACAATTGGATAGATAATGGCATCATCATTGAGAGAAGGAGCACTTGAAAGAGGGGCAGGCTGGCAGCAAAGGAAATGATGAGTGTATTTTTGAGTTTGAGTGATCTGCCTGTAGGGCACCCAAGTGGAGTTGGTCAATGGCATTAATTCCTCTCTTCAGTAAAGTGAGGTTAGCAATTAAAACTTTCTTCATTGGAAGAATGTATGTAATATATGTAAACTGCTTTGTGTAATACCTAGTACATAACAGGTCCTTAATAAATACTAATATATGTTGGGTCTGAAGCTCACAAAGGAAAGCTGGATTAGGGATTTAGAGTTGAGGGTTATTAATACAGAGATGATAATTAAAGCCATAGGAGTAATTTTTTTTTTTTTTTAGATTTTATTTATTTATTTGACAGAGAAAGACACAGCGAGAGAGGGAACACAGGCAGGGGGAGTGGGAGAGGGAGAAGCAGGCTTTCCTGCTGAGCAGGGAGCCAGGTGCGGGGCTCCATCCCAGGACCCTGTGATCATGACCTGAGCCGAAGGCAGACGCTTAACGACTGAGCCACCGAGGTGCCCCAAGCCACAGGAGTAATTAAGATCACCTGGAGAATGTGTATGAAGTGTGAGGAAGAAAAATCCCTCAGGAGGAAACCTTGAAGAATGCTAACATCTGTGAAATGGGTAGAGGAAAAGAGCCTGCAGAGGAGACTGAGGAAGAGAAAGGAGCAAGACAGAAAGGAAAGCAAATCAGGAACTAGGAGGAAAACCAGGGATATCATGGATGCCAAGGAAGACAGTCCTTTAAGAAAAAAGTGGCATATGCTTCTGTGAGATTAAGGAAAATACTAAAATGTTTTCAGGAATTTAGTAGCAAGAAACAGTTGTGGTATTGATAAGAATAATCTACTGAGGTATCTGAGGCATAAGCCATTGTTAAATGGACTGAAGACTTAGTGCAAAATGTGGAAAATGGATACAGCAAGAGGAGCTATAATTCTTTCAATGAAGTGGAAAAGAGGGGAAAGAGAGCTGGAAGGGGATGTACAGTTTCCTTATTTATACAATGAGGATATTAATATTTATATAATAATAGTGTTATAATAAAACATGGTAAGTGACTAAGTGTAGTGCCCGAGGTAAACCGTACCAGTCATTACTGTTGGAATCTGAACAGCTAGCTTCCTCAGAACTAACCATGTTTATTTTTAGCATCTATTATCTTCTAGTATGATTCTGAGACTGCTTGGTCTAGATTTGTCTTCACCTCTGGCATCTGGCCTGCTTAAGTAAATAGACTTTGTGACATTAGTGCGCTGGACAATATCAAGTGTAGATCCTCTTTAACCTACCCTAAGACACTTAATTTCTTTTCTAACTTTACTTCATCCAAATATAAAACACACTCTTCTCATAAGTTCTCAAAATATACTTAAGTAATTTGTTTACACATATCATGTTTCTTCATTTGAATATTTAATGATATCATAATCTGTGTTTTTCAAATTTATTCTCTTATTACCTAAAATATAATAAATTCTTAAAGGCTAGAGATTCTTTTTAATTTACTTTGAACAGAATCTAGTATGGAGGTTTATATACTCAATTAAATAAGCTTTTGGGGGAAATTTTTATCAAAACCTATGCTAAATTGTTTTATCTTTCTCTCCTAGCAATGGATTAAACTGCTTCTTTAAATTTCTTGCCTGGATTTATACCGGTTCAGCAAGTATGTTCTCTGAAGCTATACACTCTTTATCTGATACTTGTAATCAGGTAAGGTGTAAAAGTTTTTTTCTTATTAATTTTAAAGTAAATTTTTTAAGGCTTTAGTCTAAAAGTTGACCTATTTAAAAAACAGATGATTCCTATAGTTGGCTTGAGGAATAAAATGAAAGTTTTTTTTACTTTTGATGATGAAGTACATAGAAATTTGATCATAGTATTTTATTTATTATTATTTTTTAAATCAAGGATCTTCTTTATTACTTTTGTTTTGAGAGAGAGAAAATGAGGTGAGTGGGTAGGGAGAGGGGCAGAGGGAGAACGAGAAACTCAAGCAGGCTCCACACCCAGTATGGAGCCCAGTGCAGGGCTTGATCTCATAACCCTGAGATCATGACCTGAGCTGAAATCAAGAGTCAGATGCTTAACTGACTGAACCACCCAGGTGCCCCTGATCATATTTAAAGCACGTTGTTATGCTTTAAGAACTTACAACAGTGGAATATGAAGTACAACATTATCAGTAGTAAGTGTTGGGCAGAATCTTTTGTATAAGAGATTCTTATCATTAGGTAGAAATTTGGTCTCTGAATATGAATTCTTATGACTATAGGGGCCAATTAAGTTTTTTGAATAAAGCTATAAAATAATCGAGGTGCCTGGGTGGCTCAGTAGGTTAAGTTTCTGACTCTTGATTTTGGCTCAGGTTGTGATCTCAGAGTCATGGGCTCGAGCCCCACATTGGGCTCCATGCTCAGTGTGGAGTCTGCTTGTCCCTCTCCCTCTGCTCCTCCTCCGCGTGCACACACACACACACACTCTCTCTCTCTCTCGCTCAAATAAAGAAATAAAGTCTTAAAAAAATAAAGCTATAAAATAATCACAAGTGATTAATGAACTAAAATGATTTCACATTAGACTGTTTTTTTTTTCTTTAGATTTTATTTATTAGAGAGAGAGAGAGAGAGCATGAGCCGGGGGAGGGCCAGAGGGAGAAGGAGAGGGAGAATCTCAAACAGACTCTCTGCTGAGCATGGAGCCTGATGCGGGGCTTGATCTCACAACCTTGAGGTCATGACCTGAGCTGAAATCCAGAGTTGGACGCTTAACTGACTGAGACACCCAAGTGCCCCTAAACTGGGATTTTTAATTCCTTTGCTTGAATGTACAAATGAAGAAAGATTTTTATAAAATTAAGAGCAAAAAACAAAACCCAAAGCCAGCAGAAGGAAGGAAATAATAAAGATTAGAGAAGAAATAAATGATATAGAAACTAGAAAAACAATAGATCAATGAAACCAGGATCTGATTCTTTTTTTTTTTTTTAATGAGAGCACACATATTCCATGTAAGCGATGGGGGAGAGTGGCAGAGGGAGAGAGAATTTTAAGCAGACTCCACCGTTATCATGGAGCCCCACATGGGACTCGATCTCACAACCCTGAGATCATGACCTGAGTCAAAGTCAAGAGTCAGATGCTTACCAGCTGAGCCACCCAGGCGCCCCTAGGAGCTGGTTCTTTGAAAAAAATCAGCAAAATTGATAAGCCTCTAGCCAGATTGATCAAGAAGAAAAGAAAAAGAACTCAAAAATCACAAATGAGAGAGAAATAACCAATACCACAGAAATGCAGAAGACCGTAAGAGAATATTATGAAAAGTTATGTGCCAACAAATTGGATAACCTAGAAGAAATGAATAAATTAAACTACCAAAACTAAAGCAGGAAGAAAGAGAAAATTTGAACAGACTGATGACTAGCAAGGAAATTGAATCAGTAATCAAAAACTCCAGGGGTGCCTAGGTGGCTCTGATGGTTAAGCATCTGCCTTTGGCTCAGGTCATGATCTCCAGGTCCTGGGATTGAGCCCCTCATCTGGCTCCCTGCTCAGGGGGGGAGTCTCCCTCTGTCTCTCCGCCCTGCTCATGCTCTCTCTCTCTCTCTCTCACATGAATAAATAAAATCTTTAAAAGAAAAAAAAAAAAGCCTCCCAACAAATGAAAGTACAGGACCAGACGGCTTTGCAGATGATTTCTACCAAACATTTAAAGAAGAGTTAATACCTATTCTTTTGAAACTATCCCAGAAAAATAGAAGAAGGAGAACTTCCAAATCCATTCTATGAAGCCAACATGACCCTGATACCAAAACCAGGTAAAGATACCACCAAAAAAGAGAACTACAGGCCAAACCTCTGATGAACATAGATACAAAAATCCTCAACAAAATACTAGCAAACCAAATCCAACAATACATTAAAATAATCATTCACCACAGTCAAGTGGGATTTATTCCTGGGGTGCTAGGGTGGTTCAGTATTCCCAAATCAATCAATGTGATACATCACATCAATAAGAGAAAGGATAAGAACCATTTGATCCCTTGGGGGGATGGGTTGGCCTGGTGATGGGTATTAAAGAGGGCACATACTGCCTGGAACACTGGGTGTTATATGTAAACAATGAATCATGGAATGCTGCAAAAAATAAAAATAAAAAAAAGGAACCATATGATCCTTTCAATAGATGGGGGAAAAGCACTTGATAAAGTACAACATCCATTCGTAATAAAAACCCTCAACACAGTAGGTGTAGAGGGAACATACATCAACAAATAAAGTAAAGGTCTTATATGAAAAACTCACAGGGAACATCATAGTGAATGGGGGAAAACTGAGAGCTTTTCCCCTAAGGTCAGGAACAAGTCAAGGATTTCCACTCTCACCACTTTTATTCAACATAGTACTGGAAGTTCTAGCCACAGCAACCAGACAACAGAAAGAAATAAAAGGTATCCAAATTGATAAGGAAGAAGTAAAACTGTCACTATTTGCAGATGACGTACATGGTAGATATAGAAAATCCTAAAGACTCCCCCAAGAAACTACTAGAACTGGTAAGTGAATTAAGTAAAATCTTAGGATGCAAAATCACCATACAGAAATCTGTTGCATTTCTATATACTAATAATGAAGCAGCAGGAAGAGAAGTTAACAAAACAATCACATTTACAATTGTATCAAAAATAATAAAGTCTGTAGGAATAAACTTAACCAAAGAGGTGAAAGACCTATACTTGGAAAACTATAAAACACCAATGAAAGAAATTTAAGAAGACACAAAGAAATGGAAAGACATTCCATGCTCATGGATTGGAAGAACAAATATTGTTAAAATGTCATATTACCTAAAGCAATCTACAGATTTAATGCAGTCCCTATCAAAATACCAACATTTTTCATGAAATTAGAACAAACCTAAAATTTGTATAGAACCACAAAAGACCCTGAAGAGCCAAAAGAATCTTGAAAAAAGAAAAGCTAAACTGGTGGTATCACAATTCCAGGCTTCAAGTTATATTACAAAGCCGTATTCATCAAAATAGTATGGAACTGGCACAAAAATAGACACAGAGATCAATGGAACAGAATAGAAAACCCAGAAATAAACCCACAATTATATAGTCAATTAATCTTCAACAAAGCAGGAAAGAATATCCAGTGGGAAAAAGACAGTATCTTCCACAAATTGTGTTGGGGAAACTGGATAGCTACATAGCAAAAGAATGAAACTAGACAACTTCCTTACATTGTACCCAAAAATAAATACAAAATGCATTAAAGACCTAAACGTGAGACCTGAAACCATAAAAATGCAGAAGAGAGCAGAGGCAGTAATTTCTTTGACAAAGTATTGGGACTACATCAAAATAAAAAGCTTTTGCACAGTGAAGGAAACAGTCAACAAGACTAAAAGGCAACCTATTGAGTGGGAGAAGATATTTGCAAATGACATATTTGATAAAGGGTTAGTATCCAAAATATATAGAGAACTGATACAATTCAACACCCCCCAAAACAAATAATCCAATTAAAAAATGGATAGAAGTCAGGGGCGCCTGGGTGGCTCAGTCGTTAAGCGTCTGCCTTTGGCTCAGGTCATGGTCCCAGAGTCCTGGGATCAAGCCCCGCATCGGGCTCCCTGCTCGGTGGGAAGCCTGCTTCTCCCTCTCCCACTCCCCCTGCCTGTGTTCCCTCTCTCGCTGTATCTCTCTCTGTCAAATAAATAAATAAAATCTTTAAAAAAAATAAAAATAAAAATAAATAAATAAAAAATGGGCAGAAGGCATAAATAGATATTTCTCCAAAGAAGACATGCAGATGGTCAACAGACACATGAAAGGATGCTCAGTATCACTCCTTATCAGGGAAATGCAGATCAAAACTACAATGAGATATTACCTCACACCTGTCAGAATGGTTAAAATCAAAAACACAACAAACACCAGTATTGACAAGGATGAAGAAAAAGGAATGCTCGTGCACTGTTGGTAGGAATGCAAACTGGTACAGCCGCTGTGGAAAACAATATGGAGGTTCCTCAAAAAGTTAAAAATGGAACTATAATACAGTAGTTGCACTACTGGGTATGATCCAAAAAATACAAGAACACGGGCACCTGGGTGGCTCAGTCGGTTAGGCATCTGCTTTTGGCTCAGGTCATGATCCCAGGACCCTGGAATCAAGCCCTCAATCAGGCTGCCTGCTCAGCAGGGAGCCTTCTTCTCCCTCTCCTGCTCCCCCTGCTTGTGCTCTCTCTCTCTCTCTCTCTGTCAAATAAGTAAATAAAATCTTAAAAAAAAATACAAGAACACTAATTCAAAGGGATACACGCTTAACGACTGAGCCACCCAGGCGCCCCTCTATTGGGTTTTTAAAAAATGTTTTATCCATCTCTCTGTATGTTGAAAATTTCCATAATATAAAGTGCAAAAAGACATGATGTCAATTGTGATCATCTTTTCAAGCACACACACACCCCTCTCTGAAATCTCTCACAAATATATTCACAAAAGCAACATTAACAACTATATACAAGTGTATATAGTCTGAAATATCCATCAGACTCTTAAATGATCCCCCCCCCCACAGGAATATTATTCAGCCATTAGAGAAAAAAAGAAAGAAATCCTGCCATTTGTGACAACATGGATGGACTTTGAGGGCATTACGCTAAGTGAAATAAAGTCAGAGATAGATACTGAATGATCTCACTTATATGTGGAATAAAATAAAAACACCCCAAACTTATGGATATAGAAAACAGATTGGTGGTTGCCAGAGACAGGGAGTTAGTGGAGGTGGGTGAAATGGGTGAAGGTGGTCAAAAGGTACAAACTTCCAGTTATTAAAAAATTAATTCGTTGTAATATTTTTATAACTATAGTATTTTTTTCTTTACCTCTTGAGAGACTAAAATACCTCAAGTTTTAAATTTAGACCTGTGCTTCTAGTGATAATTTAGGTTTACAATTTCTGTACAGTTCATTTTTTAAAACTTTTCTGCTAAGTAATATACAGTACATCATTAATATTAATTGATATGAATTTATCGAGCACCTGAGTTTATAATGTAGTGTTTAGAAGAAATCAGTCTTTGCTCTTCTGTAAGGGGGTCAGAACAATTAGAAAGATATTCCAAGATGACATTTAAGCAGTTGCATGATAGTATGATACTGAAGGAAAAATCAAAAAAGGAAAGGAAAATCATGGAGGGGGAAGCATTTATAATGCTTCTTAACCAGTAGATATTAATATCCATTATGTTGCAAACCAAACAGATGTAGGTTATATTTACAGATATATATATATCAGTGTGTATATTTATATATGTATACACACACATTGTAATTATGCAGAAAAAGGTGTGAAAGGACCTATCTCGTGTTACCCTACCTCTGGGGGTAGTGAGGGGGACAGGATTAGGGATGGTCTGTGATACCTTATTTTTATAGGAAAAACTAATAAATTTGGTCCACATTCAGTTTATGAAAAACTTGATATCCTACACTTCATTGTGTGGCCAACCTGAATATTAAGGATTTTAAAAATAATTGAATACCCATTGGCTATTTTGTAAACATTATAAACACACACACATATATATATATATATACACACACACACACACATATACACACACACATATACATAGTGTGAATTAATGAATATTTCAATTTAATTTGCAAGTTTAAAAGGATCCTGTGTTCTATCTTAATTTGCTCTCATTTTCTTGGTTTGATTCACTGAAAAGCCATCATCTGTGTTTTAGGTAGTTTTAACTCTCTTTTTCTTTGGAATCCAGTAGAAAAAAAACTGTAATACTCTGTGTATTTAGGGTAGGATTTCCAATATCAAAACTTAAAAGTCCAATCATATATTTGTTTTAGCCATTTTCAAGGTGGTGTAATCTCTATTTTACTAGAGAGAATGTTTCTATCAAGTTTTTTGTAACCTACAGGGAAACCTCATCTATGAAGAATTTGGTTGTCTTGAAGCTTTACCTATCTGATTATTTGATACCATGCTGAAAAAATGGAAAAGCCCCAGATTAGGGAAATAATACCACGTAGGGTATTCACTCGGAGGCCTTGTATTTTTATTAAACAAATAATGCTAATAAGGTAATCTTTTTTGGATCTCTAAACTCACATCAAATTAGAATAGAAAGGACTTACTAGGGGCAAGCATACTAATATCGGGAGTTTCCAGTGATAACTCTTTTTAACAAAAGATGCAATTGAAAAACCAAATAAATGAAAGAAAGGAAGAAAAGATCAAGTCTGGGGAGGAAGGAAGGAAGGAGAGAAAGGTGGTAACTAGGATTAAAGACATGTTCGTATTTTTGCCATATTTACTTTATGTTTTTGGTTTTTTAAAGAAATAAAGTCTTAGTTGTAATTAGCCCTACATCTTTATTCCCTCCTTCCACACCCCAGATAATGTACATATTGATATGTATACTCCTTGTGCATGGCTTTGGAAGATCTGGTAGAAATATATTTGTCTGTATACAATGTATACTATTTAAAATTTTTACTGTCTTTTATTTTTATAGCAGTATGTTACTTTTCCTATAAAAATATCAGATATTACAGACTATCCTAATCCTACTTCTCCCTCAGAGGTATAAACAGTTGAATGTATATTCTTTTAGACCTTTTGCTGTGCTTTACATTATGTGTTGTCTACAAAACGACGTAAGTTTTTTTGTACTTTACACACTGTTCCTGATTTTTTTTTTTTCTTCCACTTTAATGGTATGTGTAGGAGCTTTTACCATGTCAGTACAGAAAGCTCTGTCTCAACTCCATTCTTTTAAACTGTTGTAGATGTAACTATGGTTTGGCAATACCAGCATTTATTTTGCCATTCCTTATTGAGGGATTTTTAGGTTGGCTTTCACATTTTTTGTCTTTATAAGCAATGGTGTTTTGAACCCCTTTGGGTTCATCTTTATTTCTCTAAGGTAAGGACTGTAAACCAGAATTGCTGGGCTGTTGTGTATGTGCATGTGAAGTGGTTCTTTGCCATTGTCAGATTGCACGCTCCAGATTGGTTCTACCACACTATACTCTCCATCTTGCTAATAATTATTTACCCTTTTTTCTTCTTCTCCATAGGGTTTACTAGCAGTGGGCATCAGTAAGTCTGTTCAAACACCAGATCCTACTCATCCGTAAGGACATTGCCTTTATTTTATTTTATTTTTTGGCAGCAAGTCATTGAAATAAAAGCAGTTGAATTTTGGAAGTCTCCTGCAGTTTATATACCTGCATTTTTGTGTTAAAGATTTGGTCAGTTCTTTCACTATAGGATCTAAAATGTAGGACTCAAACACAGTGTCAAAATAAATTCAAGATATAATTTGAAATTTGTGTTTAAATTATTTTTATGCTTTGTAACAGCATAGAGATCTTGTCCTCTTCATAGTTGATAATAACAAAGCACATATTTTGATCTTAGAGTTCTATTTTATTTGGTTAAAGGAAACATTCTACATCTAGACTAATAGGCACTGAGTCTAAAATTGTAGTGATAACTTTTATTAAATCCATATTTATTGTATTTTAATCCTGTTGTGATTTGGAAATAGTATTCTGCTAACATTTTAAAATTATTTATTTGTAAAATGAGTATTCTTTTGTATTATTTTGAGTCACATCAGTTATTTTATAGAGATTTTTTCCTTTTACTAACATACCCAGCTAATACTTTTGAATTCCACATGTATCATTTATTTAACAAGTTTCAATAATAAAATTTGATCAGTCTTAAGGCAGAAAAAATCTACTTTTATTTCTGTAAAGGAGTCTGCCTCTGTGCTTTATATAAAGGCCTTTTTTTTGCTTAAAAGCAAGACACTACTGTTTTCTCATAAATGATAGTATATTTTGAATATCCTAGAACTATCAATAAGCAATTATAGAGAGCACGTAGCTTTCTTATCTACTAATTACACATCATTACACTATTTTACTGTGTCAAGAAAAGAATTTTTTTCCTGATTAGTTTTATACACCAAAATTTTTAAAACAGGATAAAATTTTATAATTTTAGGTTGTGAAGATTTCTTTTTAAGGTATTTTCAATGATCTACTTGAGTGCTGCTCAATAAAATTTTCTAGTGATAGAAATATTTTATATCTGTCCAGTATGATAGTCAGTAGCTACACGTGGCTGTTGAGCATTTGGAATGTGGCTAGTGTAAAGATCTACATTTAAATTTTTATTGTTTTAATTAATTTAAATTTAAATAGCGTTATGTGGCCGATGACTAATATGGGACAGTGAAGATCTACATAGTTAAAATTTCAGTCAGAACCTACAATTTTTTGAAAACACACAGAAGGAAAGTATTAGCACTTAATTTAGATCTTAATTTACTTTAACTGAAATAAATATATATATATCCTATATTACTTTGGGGGGTACATTTAGAAAAAGTAAGTTTTTCTAAATCAAATAGGTAGAACATTGTCATAATTATAAACTGAGAATTCCCTATTGCAATATTACTACATATTTGCAGAAATAATTAAAAACAGTTTTAATTAAGACCTATTGTTTAAATTTGCATCTGCCAGAAGGGTGCCATAGAGTTTGGCTTTGGGAGTAAATTTCCCAGGAAATATTTTTATTAATGAGTGATTCCTTTCCTCGTATAGTATTATCATGTTTTTGAGCTTCTTAAAACTCAGTATTTTATTGATACATACAGTAATACAAAATAATACACATATTGACAAAGATTCTTTAAAAATGAGATTTTTTTTTAAAAATTTGCCATAAAAACGCCCGAAAAACTGAAGCTCATAGTCCTAATAAGAGTAGTTAGTTGCTGTGTGCTAAACTATTCAGAACCAGCCCCAAGTATCCAACATCAAATTATAGGCAAGAAGACCAAATGTTTAGTTAGAAAGCTGTATTACAGGGAAATTTAAATGTCTTCCTCTACATTAAACACCTGAATGCATTTTTAAAAAGATGAATTTTATCAGTATTTGTGGTACATAATAGTGTATTGACTCTATGTAATCAGAACAGACTATATGGAAGAGGGATTAGAAAATACCTGAATTCAGTCATATTCACTGTTTTTCTATATTTTCAAAGATCTTGCAGTTTTTTCCCTTTATATGTTATTTTCCGATTAGATTTAAATTTGGCATTTACATTTTACTTAAATATAAAACCATGAACATCTTTATATTGTAAGAAGTTTTTGGTTTTCTTTTGCATTGACTTATTCAACATATAAAACGATTTGTATTTTTTGTAAACTTTTTTTTTTAATTTTTCAGGTATGGATTTTCAAATATGCGCTATATTGCTTCACTAATTAGTGGTGTTGGAATTTTCATGATGGGTGCAGGATTATCTTGGTACCACGGAATCATGGGATTGCTTAATCCTCAACCAATGGAATCCCTTCTATGGGTAATCCTTTTTCCCCCCTCAGTTTTCAAGTAATATAAGAGTGATTAAGTACAGTAGAATGCCTTTGTCATAATTGATATTAAAGAAAGGGACTAACACATACCTTTTTGACTGTAATACGGGGTTATGTAGCTGTAGTTGTGTTTTTTAGAACATGACTACACATGACCTCTAAATTCACATGGTTCAATGATGTTGAACAAGAGTATCTCTGTAGGTACAGGGGCACCTGGCTGGCTTAGTTGGTGGATTGTGTAACTCTTGATCTCAGGGTTGTGAGTTCGAGCCCCACATTGGGTGTAGAGATTACTTAAAAATAAAATCTTAAAAAAAAAGAAGAAAGAAAAAAGTATCTCTGTAGGTACAGTCATTAAGTACTGACTCCTGGGTTAAAATCTTGGGCAGTTCCATTAATTTCTTCAGTTATATTGAAGAACAAGAAGATCTCTGTTCATTTTTAGTCCCAAGAATAATCTATCAGTAATTAAAATATCCAGTGCCACAAGACAGTCATAAGTTGGAATTGTTGTATTTAAAGATTTTTTTTTTTCACTCATGTAGGTAGGAAGCCTGTACCGGGGGAATGGGAGGATGGGAGCATGGTCACCTTCTGTATTTTCCTCGCTAGGGCGTCTGCCCTTCTCTCCTACTCCTGAGCTTGCCTCTGGCAGCATCAAATGTAGGGAGAGAGGACAGAAAATACTACTCTATTGTACTTTACTGGCACCAGCATCATTTTACATTGGATTCCTCTGACCTTTGTAGATACTTAAAGCTGCCTTTTTCTCTCATGGAAACTTCTTGGAGATTACCCTGCATGTCCACTCTGACTTGGCTCCCTTGACAAGCATGGATTGGTCATTTGGCACCCCTTTTAGCTTCTGCTTCTTAGGATGTAGTTCCAGACTCTTTCTGCTGAGGTTGCCTTGCATTTTCGAGAAGGCTCTTTGGGCAGTTGATCTCTTTTCCAAAGACTCTTACTCAGAATCCTGTTTGGGCTCTGTGTGTTAAAACAGACATCTTTAATGCCCTCCCAGTGAGAGTGCAGTTTTGGTTTTTTTTTCCCCCAAACATAATCATCTACTCTGTTGACACAATCAGTATCAGTAGACTTGCCAATAAATTTATTTTTATATGTGAATTAGACATAGTTCACTGTAATCTCTAAACACCAGGGACGTACATCCAGCTTTCTGAACAATCTTAACAGCTTAATAGCTTTTTCCAAAGAAATCTTCACTTTTGGCCTTAACCTTAGCTCTTCCTCATGGGTTAGTGGGTGTGGAGCTAGGAGTTGTAAAATGAGCCTTGGGCGTTCTCTATGCAAAGCCTGAAGAAATGGTACAGCACCTCATTTTGGAATGTGGGAGTACTTATAGCCTAATTTGTTCTCAGTTGGAATGAATCTCATTTAACATCTTTTCCTCCATTCTGAAAAGGTTCAGCCACTTTATAGATACCTCATTCTTTTTTTTTTTTTTTT